GAGGGGGGGGGGGGGGGGGGGGGGGGGGACTCTCCATTCAGATGTCATATATGGTTTGATCAGTTTTTCTGAATCTCATTTTCTTAGTTGGCATATGTTCCTGAACAATATAATAAAGAAGTTCCCAGTACTTGTATTTTTCATCCAAAGTGTCAAATATTTCCATAACATTCCAAGTCTTCATTCAGTTTCTCCACATTCAATGTTTTTGCACACAATTATGTGACTATGCCTTGTTTACCAGAACTTACAGGTAGAAAAGTTTTATTGTTGTATGTCACAGAAGTATAGTCTTGAATTGAATTCTTCTTAACCAGTCTCTGAATCTTGGTGTGATAAAATTAGTAGGAAAAAATGAGAATGATAAATAGATCTATACATAAATGCCTTTGGGAATTATTGTTTTCAGACTGTGAAGCAATGGCTGCACTTGTAAATTACACTTGTAAAAGTTTTATTATATGAATTCTGGTTTGACGTGGTGACTGGTTGTAGGTAATGAGTTCAAAGAGGTGACTCTTAACCAAGGTACTTACATTGTAACAGTGACTTAACAAGCCTGTAATTGAGGCCAGTTTTACTTTCTCAATTTTACCACATAAAAATATTATCATTGTAAATGGGCCTCTATTTGATGGAATAGAGTATCAGTATGCGAGGAAAGTTCATTGCTTGAAAGATAAAAATAAAACTTCTCAGGTGTATAGAAATAAGGGGACAAAATTATAAGTCTATCAAGGAATTAATTTTCCTTAGCAGTGTTGACAAGTTTTAGTACACAATTCAAACACTTAATTTACACAGGTCTATAATCCTTAGCATGTAGAATGTTTGTTAGATTGGTTCTTTTATTGAGTCAACTGACATTTTGTGTGGTGTATGTAGTAAGATAACCATGACATGAGTTACTAAGTTGCCATGGTGACAAGGTGGCCACAGCTTGGGACATGAAATTGAATATATCATTCAAGTTTAAAGACCTCTGCAAGTTGGAAGTTAAAATGTATGTAGTCAGTTTTGTGTGTAGAGGACTGTAGTGTGATAAGATTAGATGAAAGTAAAAAAAATATTACCATATATTGTGTGTATATGCACAGGAGCAGTACAGAAACATAGGAGATAGAATCTGGAGAAGTGTTGAAATGGAGGTAATGTTTACTGCTATTTTAGATTATTTTTAAGGTACGGTTAATGCCATTATGATTTTATATAAAACATGTTATATTATTAGGAGGCCACAAGAGAACTTTCCAAATGTAGTCTGTCATTTAGCTGTAACTGCATTTCTGCAGTTTACTCACAAAAATTTAATTAGTTTTTAAACCCTATTCTTTTAAAAATGGCACAGGACTTGTTTGTTAAGGGCAAACTTTTGGGAGTGACTTATGCATGACAACTAAAAAACACACATTGGTGCCCCAAAACTTTTTCAAACTGTTTCTGTGGTTAGGTAGTGACCAGCTGATGACAGAAGTTTCTTCTTTTATTATTTATTAACTCATTTTAAACTGAAAAAAGTCACAAAAGACTTACAGCAATTCCAAATTTACAAAACTAACAGTGATTTTGTTACAAATAGTTATGGTGAGCCCTGGGACTCATCTTGTGAAAAATCATGCGTCCCAGTCCAGAACCAATGAGTCCCACTGTCGAGTTAAAAAAATAAAAATTAGTCTGAAATTGAAAATGCTTGGGCCTTTCTGTCACCAGACAGTTTATGTGAAGACAGACTCCAAAGCTCTCTATTAAGTAAAAATATAGTCCTTCTATTTAAAGCACAACAAAGCCTAAAGGAAGTATGCATCTTTAAACAACAGCCATAATAATTAACTGCCAGAGAAAATACGCGAACAGGCCCGATATTTCTACAAATACACATGTTCAGATTGATGATCGATCTCTGCGTCCTATGGGACGCATGCCGTGAATTATTTTGCACCTTTGGGGATTTTTATGCCCCAGAGATACAGGATGCAGAGGTAACAAAATCACTGAACTAATAAACATTGAAGTAATACTTTTTCTAATGTGAGGACTGTGTAGATAGTTAAATCCCTTAAAACAGGTCACTTTTTAAACCTGCTTTGAACCTACATTCATGACAGCTCTCTTGCCACTACGTAACTGCCACATCACGCAAAATCTTATAAATTCAAACTTACGGTATCACAACACAAAGAACCATCTTGAAGTGAATTTTGTAAAAATAAAAGTGAAAACTCAGGAGGATCGATAATTCTTTAGTTTGAAATTTGATGACATCATCTGAAAACCAGCAATATACTTAATTTCATTTTTTTAGTATTCCCTGCTAATTGCTTAACATGGTCCGACATTGCAACACAAATTACATGCAAAGTAAAGACTTACAGAAACAGTGGATGTAAATTTTTAAAGACTTAAAAATTTTCCTGGTTTATCCAGCAGAAATTCACATGATTTCTTAAACACTTACCCTGGAGTTAACCTTATTGCCAACTTTAACTCTTTTATTTCTTTCATTTGCAGTGTATTGCAAGCGCCAAAATTATATTATTAGTAACAGAGACTGTACAATTCAAAAGCATTTATTGGTTTTCTTTATATAGTATTTTCAATTAGACCATGTTTGTTTAATGACCTTATACCTTAAATACCTGAAATAATTTTGCATAACTCATGAATATATTGTTGTCATGAAGCAAGGTTAGTAATACAAATTGTACAATGTACTTCCAAACCTTGCTTCAAATGTTTTTAACAAGCTGTCTACAACATGCTACAGAACACTTTAAACACTGTGACTTTTAATTTAATTACAGCTTTTACTTGTTTAATTACTTATGATTGTGACTTACTTACCAAGGAAGGAACCATTGTTAATAATTAATGTTAACTTTGTGGTTAATGATCTTCTCTTAATATGGTGTACCTGCATCAATGTAGATTATTGCTGTTAACTTTAATCATTATCATTTTACTCCTTTATGAAGTTCATTAAATTAAACTTTTATCTTCCATGCCAGTTGTATACATTTCGTCCATTTCCTATTAAAAGTATAACATACATTTATCATCAACTCACAATACACAGTTAGAATAAGGAAGAAACATTTAAACCATTAAATTTTCTCTTTTCACAGACAGTCTGTAAAAAAAACACATAATTTCCACTTGAGCAGAGGTTTTTTCTTTTCTTTAAAAAAACTTTCTAATAATTATTGATATAACAAATTTTTGACTGTGAATCTATTCTTAATATTATCGATGGTGTTTTTCTTTTGCTGTAGTAAGTCAGGAGAACTTTGAATTATTTCATTTTGTAGAGTCAAGATTGAACAATTACTGTCATGGTTGGGCATCTTGATTGCAAATGTACCAAAGTGGGTTGTGGTTGGGGGTGGGGGGGGGGGGGGGGGGTTTTTAAAGCACCCTTAGTTTATTTTTCTCTTAAAAAAAGGGGGCTTTAAACAGGCTGGTATTCCTAAACACTTTTTTTTAGCAATTTTGAAAAAGGGGCGGTGGAATGGTTTTTTTTTTCTTTAGAATTAATTTTCTTATTAAATTCTGGTTTTTAACGTGGAGGTTTTAATTTTGGGTACTTTTAACATACCGAGGTTATTTTAAATTTTTTTTTTTTTTTTATTTTTTTTTTATATTTTTGGTGTTTTTTTTTTTTTGTTTTTTAATAAGGATTGATTTTTTTTTTTTTTTTTTTGTTATGGTAAAGAGTGTAATATTTGTGTGGGTGGGGGGGTTTGGGTTGGGAAGGTGGGGAGGGGGGGGTGGGGGGGGGGGGGGGGGGGGGGGGGGAGTGGCTTTTAAAAGCACTCTATGTTAATGTTCTCATAAAAAGAAGGGGCCTATAGACAGTCTGATATCTCTACACACTTTTTTTAAGCATGTTGAAAATAGTGCAGATGTAATGTTTATTTCTTGCTTAAGAATTAATTTCCTAATACAATCATGGTTTTAACAGTGAAGATATTAATTTAGGTAACTGATAACTCACTGAGGGTTGGGAGAATGTGACATGTCATTTACTTTTAATGGACTTCCAGCCAAAAGATGATTCTCTGCCAGTGAGTTTCAGCTGTTTCTCTGCTGTCCTTTGGATATTTTACTGGTAACACTAGTGAACTGAAAGATTTGTGTAGTAGTCTTCAATCCATGCATCAAATATACATGTAATTTATATGACTTTTTCATTATAATCTTTGTTACTATGATATACTCTTCTCTGGAATCTTGTTTTGGACCGCCTAAGAGCCAAGAATGATTTTTTAAAGTTACTTAAAAGAACATGGCTTTAATGCAAAGGTGGTTATAAAGCAGGGTCCCATAGCTTTTAGTGGCCTGCACACTGTTCTGATACCATGTTTTTTATGGTTGTTTCCTCTTCTAGAACCTTCATGTCAATGAGGCCATGCCATTCTTGGACTATTCTTCACCATGTGAATCTACTCCTGATGGCCTGCCAAAAGAACAGCAAACATCAAGGGAGTGGGTATTAGAATGGAACAGGAAGAGCGATACCAGTGAAGTTCAGGAGTACTTGCAGCAGTTGCAACGTTCTCACAGCCACTCGCATCCAGAAAATGCTGACTCTCCTGAGAGTTTTAGCCGTAGTAGCTCTGTTCCAAGATATACTGGATTTGATGGCCAAGCTGATGTGGAGATGGAGAGTGAGCCTTTTGAAATCCAGAAATTAGGATGTTCACCAGGCAAAAAGTTTGTGGACGTACATCAAACTGTTGGGGAGGTGACCTCTGATAATTGCATTGCTGATGATCAGAGAGGCAATGAAAGATCTTTTGTAAGTTGCCATTGCTGAGATCTTTTTAATACATTTCCAGTGAAATTGGAAGCACTGCTTTGTATGTCTGCACATTTATAGTATTACATATGAAAAGGAAAAGGAAAAATGAAAATGTCATCAAAACATCAGAAATGCTATTTTCTGACCTGAATCTTTGTAACTTATAACTGCTGAATAATACAATTGAAAATTGTTGGAAACTTGCTAGTGAAATGCTCAAATTATATGGTTTGATTTTCTAATATTGCAACTGTTCTTATTTGTTTTTGATATCTCCAAAGTACTTTTTGTTGATACCCTCCATGATTACAGTACACCACAGTTTTAGCACCGCATGTTTTTTCCCCATCATTTTAGATTCATGGAGATGACCAGGATGATAGTCTGTTAGATGAAGCAATGACAGGTGCCAATCATAGTATTTTGCCTTAACAATACTGAATCTGTAATGCTAATAGAAAATGAGCTCTGTTGCATAAGATTTCTCCCATTACATATTGACCAGTTTCTTACTTTCGAATTGCAAAAGGCTAAATTTATTATTGGAAATATTGGTTGAAGTTTTTTTCATCTGTTCAATTTTAGTGTAATGTTCATTTAGCTAAAAAAAATATTTCAGAATGCTTTGAAATTCAAAATTCTTCTGCATCCCATTTCTAATAATTAGAAATGGGATGCTGGAGAATTTAATAGTAATAATCCCCATTCCTTCATGAGATGTGAAATACATACAGTTGAAGCTCTCATAAGGGGTGTGACACGCTGTGGATGTGAAAAAGGTGTCTGTAACTGGAGCTGGCTGCGCATGAGAATAGTTCTTGTGTACCGACGCTTAAAGTGTAAGAATTAGATACTACGAATGCCAGGAAAAATTGTTAATGTCTGACTACACTGTTTTTCTGACAACGTTGTTCATTCAGACACAAGCATAAAATTCAAGTGGTCTTTTGAACTGTAACTGGTGAGGTGAAAATAAAAATACAAGATTCTGAAGTGAATTCTCAAGGGAGCTTAAAAACAAAGCTAATACCATAAAATTCCAAAAATAAGCCCTGGGACTTATATTTTTCAAAGGGCCCTTTTTGAGGGGCTTATTTTTGGAGGGGCTTATGTATGGAGGGTAAAATGGCATTTAAAAATTGATTGGGTTAGCCTTATTCTAGGTAGGAAATTTACTGTTTTTCTTTGTTTTACTTTGCATTTGAGGGCAATTTCCAAGTACAAGCCCCCCGGGGTGGCTTATATTTGGAGGGGCGATTTAACGGAGGGTTTTTTGCGTTACAAGTTTGAGCGTCTTATATTTGGAGGGGCTTATACATGGAGAGTTTTCACTGTAGACCCTCTTACTAACAAGTGAATGAATTGCATGTTTCTTGATAGATGTGGGAGAGAATTATGTTTACACCAACTTCCTCAAATCTAGGACATGTTATGACATAATGCCAAAAAGTTCCAAGATTGTAGTATTCGACACCAAACTTAAGGTAAGCAAAATAATCTGTAAAAGTTAACAATGTTACTCTGTTACAAAATTGCAATGTTTTGAACAGATTATTAAACAACTATTAAGTTACCAATGATTGATAATAGTAAAAACAATGAACAACCTTGACAGGACTTTTCTAGCATAGATGTTACATGTCATATTTGATTTCAGGTTAATTTTAATTTTAATTTAACCTAGGTTTATTTTACTTTCTACATACAAAAACAGAAAAATTAATTTAAAAATTAGAAACTGTACATTGTAGGATAACTTCACTTGTACATGACTGTACTGTTACATCTTTTCCAATGAAATTTTATGAGTGAGTTAAGTGCCTTGATATTGAAGTTCTATATTCCTGTAGGTGAAAAAAGCTTTTTTTGCTCTGGTTGCAAATGGTAAGTAACATCTTCAACTTTTTGGTACTTTACACTAGTAAGGGTGACAATCTGTAGTTCTGCATTTTTCCTTGAAACTTTGCTCAGTTATTTTAACACCTTAACATTCTTTAACACTTGCAAACTCACAAAATGCAAGTTTGAAAGCCTTAAGTCAAAAGAATACCTCAAGCAAATATTCATACTTTGAATATTACGAGAGAAAAACTTGGGTTTCAATTTAGCCCTTGTCCATTTCTTTTCCATTTGCCACCAAATGTAAGTTCTGCGTACAGAATCTTTAGAACTAAATAAAGGGAAAGCAGTGGAGAAGCCCAAAATACCGTAAGAAATTAAGTTACAAAGATTAGTGGAATACAACTGGTGAGATAGGTGAAATAACAATGAGTTATGGTGGAGGTGTGCATGAGCCCCATACCTACGAAGGTTGGTTAGTCTATCCATTGAAGAAATTTTGGTATTCACAGGAAACCAATTTGAAATGTCAAACTTTCTAGCTAGTTTGGAGGCCTGAAAGTCTGTAACCTTTGGTTAACTTGATAATAGACATCCATATTATGGTCAATTGACAGCTATCTAAAAAGGTATCCACTGACCAGAGGCACATAACCATATCGTGGGCTCAGGTCCCAACTCAATGAGGTTGCATGTTTTTTATGAAGTATTCTGCTGACCAGTGATTAGCTTTTAATTGCAGACTTAAGTTTATGTTTTTCAGTTATATGGTTCTCCCCTAAAGGTTTTTAGATTTGTGGATTTCTTTGCAATGGTTTAAAGTCCGTTGTGTGAAGTAATTCAGGAACTTAGCTCTGGCTGAATCTATATAATATATTATTAATATTATTGGTTTTATGTAGACCTTGAGCACATGTTAGCTGCATATTTGTGCTCTAGTAGTTAAGCGTATAGAGTAAATTCCAGTTGGAAGCAGCTTTTCAGCTTTGTGGTAGCTGTCATGTAAGAGGTCCTCAACATCAAAGACATACAATATAAGATAGACAGATGGTGAATTTACTACTTTTGCAAGCAAAAAATAATATACTACTTGAGCTTTGCTAATGGGTAAAAAAATTAAGATTAAACCCAAGATTCTCTTTTTGCTTATCTCATCTTCCAAGCAGCGCAGAAACAACAGTCAAATTTGTTCTTTACTCATTCTTCTTAGGCAAGTAACTAAAGATTATTTTTTATGTGCAGCAATTAGTAATGGTAACAGGACTGAGTGGAGTCCAATTCGGTCTGTAATCATACGAGTGATTAACAAAATCGGACGACCGCGTAGCGGGAGTCCAATTTGTTTAATCATGAGTATGATTACAGACCGAATTGGACGACACAAAGTTCTGTTACCAATTAATCATAACTTTAACAAAATTTGTGATATAATAGGCTATTTTTTAAATCAAAACACAAGAAATTTGAAATTTTGTTTTGCCAGCAGTAAAAAAAAAAAACCATTTAAGCGCGCGTGTGATGACGCTTAATGTCCAATTACTTAGGCATGACGCATACTGTCCTATTAAACTGTCCAATTAAGGCTGAAATCAGGGCAGTTGATAGCCAATCAGATTTGACAATTTTGTTATAGTTATGATTATACATTGTAATCTACCTTAGTAATAATATAGTGCAAGAAGCTTCTTTAAAAGTTAAAGTTGTATTTTCTTTTTTAATATGTGTTTAGGAGTAAGATCAGCACCTCTTTGGGATAGTGACAAACATGATTTTGTTGGTAAGCTTCCTTTGCTGTTAAAATTATTTAGACTGCATTAAAAGTCAAATCATGCTATGTTTACCTATGGCAGAGAATTATCATTCATTTCTGGTACTTTCATTAAACACCAACAGCTAATGAATAAGTTGTTGCTACTTTGCTGCTTTCTTTTGTAACATGATATAATCAAAGAATTGTTCTTTCAAATTTTGTTGATACAGTCAGTCTCAAACCAGCTGCCCACTTGAATCTTTTGAAAGCCTTCTATTAGAAAAGAGAGATTTTATAGAATCATTTTTAAAAAGAAATGGCAAATCATCTTGTGACCAATTGTTGCCCATTACTTGTCTTCTACTGTTCATTTTATCTTTTGAACCAAAAAAAAAATAGTTGCAAGCCACTGGTTTATAAAAATTAATAAAAATTAGTTTGGACAGTTCTGATCCGCTTATTTTCTAGTTTGAGCAATTGTTAACTTCAATTTGACATTTCCCATGTGCTATAAAAGTCATTACAAATCTTTCGTTATATTTATTAAGGCCTTTGTTGAAACCAAATGTACTACATGTATATCAGAGTAACACTATATTATTGCTTTGTTGGTCAAGTTCTCAGTAATTTTTGCATTTTGGATTTTTCCCCTTTTTTCTCTATAGGAATGCTGACAATTTCTGACTTTATAAACATTCTTCGTCATTATTACAAATCACCATTGGTAAGAAGTTGGTTCTTGTAGATTTTTGTTTGATATGAATGAAAATATAAGAATGAAATACTAGCTTCAAGAGAAAGTAGCTTGCTAGATTCATTTTGTTGGGGTGTAATTAGAGTAGATCATCAAGCATGGATTATTGGAGTGATGAGGAAGAGGTGTTCAGATCAGTAGGATGTTATTATTCTTATGATCCCAGCATAAATACGATTTTCCAAACAAACAACTTTAGTTCTAGATTTTCTACAGCTGAAATCAGGGATAGAAACAAAGCAAAACGGTAGTGAAAAATGACAATATTATTAACAAATACAAAGTCAAGATTAACAACTTAAAGTTTACAAGACTGAACAAAAGTAATAAGGCAAACTGAAATGCAAATAAAGCAAGCAACATATAGTATATTGACTAGTAAGAGCCAAGAAAAGAACTGACAATAACACACTGATGTGAAAATTCCAAGTAAGATTTATATACAAATATATGAAAAAACCTAATGCAAAGATCAAAGATACACAAATAATAATTGGCTCATGAACCCAAAACTGCACTGAAAGGTGCGAAAACAGGTGGTGAATACACTTTAGCTTTAAATGAAAGGCATAAGATTCTTGGCGCTTGCAATTCTTGTAACTGGAATTTTGGCTTGGGATTTTTCCCAGGGTATGGTTTTACACTTTTTGTTATATAAAAAAATTACCATTATGTAACTTTGTTCAAGTTAAATTTTTATTTATCTTTATTTTTTAAATTTTCTTTTTAGGTTCAAATGGATGAGTTAGAAGACAACAAAATTGAAACTTTTCGAGGTAAAAAAGTGATATATGTTGCATCAACTGCCACATTATTGCCTGTTTATTAGCAAAAGAAGAGATTTGGCTCCCTTGTGTTGATGTACATGGTACATCTTGCAGTAACAAGCTAGTAGGAATCCTGTGGCCAGTTCTTCATGTTTTTGGTGGGCACCTTGTGACCTGAGTGCTACGTCATTGTTGCTGTAGTTGTTTGTGAACCTAATGTACCTACAAGCATAAACAAGGCTGTACATTCTGTATGTGTAAACAGTCTCTTTTTTGGCAGAACTTGAAAGGAACAATCTCAAAGAATCTGGTCTCGTTAAAATTGCTCCAATGCAGAGGTGAGTGGTTTCTGTGCCCTCTGATTTTCTTAGGTCCTCTTTAATAATCTTCGAAGTTTGTAAATGCAAAGTTGTGCTCTAGCAGAGCCCACAGGCCCTGGCCAGTGACTCACATCATTATTTTGCCTTTTTGTGTTCATGTTGAGCACCCTAGATGTTTAAATTCAAAGCTTTCCTTTTGGAGAACAACCTGGAAATGGTAAAGTGACATAACTTAGTAGAGGGGAGGAAGAGTGTAAAATTCCTGAGGATCACCTTCAGAAAAATTTGAATGATACATTTCTGAGTCAGGGATGGGTTGTGAACACAGTTGTGAAATAATTTTCTACACAGTTAGTTTGTGAGATAGTTGAGTTCAGTGTCTTGTGGACAATGATGCTGCATTCCTGCATTACACTGTACATAGTATTATAATATAGTTTTCTCTCCCTCCTTCCAGTCTCAGTTGTATTTCTCCACTGTATTGAAATTGCTTAATTTTGTTGACAGTTTGTTTGATGCTGTAAAGATGCTCGTTGAACACAAAATTCATCGACTTCCTGTTGTGGATCCACACACAGGAAATGCACTTTATATCCTCACGCATAAAAGAATCTTAAGATTTATGTTTTCAACAGTAAGTCAGTCTGCCAATTCCTACCTTGTATTTATTTGAAGCTAGTGCTATCAATATTTATTTTGGAAATATTATTATTTACTCGTACAATGTAAAATTAAGCAGTGTTTTCTTTCAGTTAACACAGACTAATCCACCTGAATTCATGGGAAGTACACTGAAAGAGTTGGGAATCGGAACGTATCAAAATGTGGCTGTGGTAGGTGGACACACTTTATTTTACTTATTTTAATTTATTGTCATTTCTTGGCCATCATCTAGAAAAGACAAGCAAGCCCCCTATGTACTCCGATCAATGCTAAATAATGGTCTTCTAAATGGTTAAAAAAATTCTAAAAATAAATGATAATATTATATAATTATTGTATAATTTTACAATAAAAACCTTTGAAACCAAACAGCTTTTGTTAAGATTACGTGTAACTTTGTTGTGAGCTACAGAGCTTGTCATAGTGTGCTCAAACTACATGTACCAATGTACATTCAGTCTCACTGAGTTGCTCATTAAATAGCTTTAGCACTGTCATGGGGGACTGGGTAAGCTATTTTCTAACAACTTCTGCTTTGATACCTACACATATTGTATAGTGTACCAATCACTAAATTTACTAACTCTGGTGCTTGTTATAAACTTTATTCATGTTAGAAAATACATGTTTTTCTAATTCATGTTGACCAAATCTGTACTTACATGAATTTACATTGTATTTGACCCTCTCCACTGTTCTTGAGGTTTGTGTGCGTTGATTTTTGTGTAGATATCTCCTGAAACTCCGCTGATTACAGCATTTCATATGTTTGCCGACAAGAGAGTATCTGCTTTGCCAGTAGTTGATAGTAATGGTATGTTTTAGTTCTCTGTTTTGTTTGTTTGCTTGTTGTTGTTGTTTTACTAAACCTAGGTTCATTTTTGTTCCATCCTTACCTAACTCCTCACCATTGATTTTTCAGGTGTTGTAGTTGATATTTACGCAAGATTTGACGTCATTGTAAGTACCAGTCTATGCCCATTTTAACTGGTTTCAATGTCGCCTAAACCACTTTCTCTTTGCAATCACATCATTGATGTTTTCCCATCAACTGTAATATTTAACAACGGTTGTCACTAAATATATAAGTAAGAGCAGATGACAACAACAGTCACTTGACAATACTTAATTTGTTGTAACTGATAATTTATGTGAATTACCGTATGTCAAATGTGAATCAGCCTATCATAACTCTTGTCCATGGACATGGAACTAAATTTCTTTGTTCCCATGTTAAGATGTGTACTGAAATAATAATTATTACTTTCGTCACTGGATAAAATGATCTCTCTGGAGAAAGTCTGAACACTGGATTTACTTGAGACCTGGTAGCTCCCATCTGACCTTTCCAGACATCAAAGGGTTGAGAACTATTATTGAGTCTGCTAACAGTAAAATAATTTCCTTTTGTTGCTTTCTGTAGAATTTGGCTGCTGAAAAGACGTACAATAATTTGGACGTATCTGTAAAACAGGCACTGGAGCATAGAGCAGAGGTATTCCATCTTTTCCTTTCTTATGATGAAGTGCAAATCTGTTCCATTTAAAAATGGGATTATATTTGAGATTATTAAATGAATGGCCTCAGTAATACAATGCATGCCATTCACTGTTTTTTCAGACATTGAGTAAAATGTCACTATTATGTTGTGAATGTTTTACTATTATTCTGCTAATATACTGTATGTCAGTGCAAGTGCCAAAGTTTGTCTGTGCATAATTATTGTTTCATTTTGTCTTGTCACCTGTTCTTACGTCTTACAACATTTATGAATTGTTGCTAGGTGCACTTTTCATCTAGTGATAGTCAATGTTTTCTGAGGCTAATCTTTCTCATTATGTTTTGTCTTCAAAAAATAATTTTGATATTAATGTTTTTACATAACAGGGTGCAAAGAAATTCATTTTTACAACTTGCCATTAGGGCAAGCTGAAGCTAGCATTTACTAGCCTCGGCTAGATGTCATTTCAACTAGTCCCGGAAAGGTTTTGAAAGGCAGAATTGATTTCACAGTTCACAGTTATTCGAATTCCTCAAAAGACATCACCTGCCCGTCGGGCAAGTTAAAAACAGAATTCACCAGCCCGATAGCAAAATCCCCTAGCCCCGGGCTATCAGACACAACTTTCTTTGCACACTGCATAACCTTGCCAACATGATGTAGCCTGAAATGTGTCATAAGTGTGCATAATGTTGAGGGGAACATTGATGATTACCATCCAGTGAAAATGAAGAATCCTTCTACATCCTTTTATATTTCTGTTGTATGGGTACCTTGTAGCTCATGAACAAGTTCAAGTTTTCAAGTTTATTTTTCAGTATTTTTAAAATACTCAACAGCTCTCTCATTGTTAACTTACAGCTAGCTGTAAGTCAGTAAATTATGTAGCAACAATCTCATTTGTTGCATAATATTGATTGATGACTTGCAGGGATTTGAGGGTGTACACCGTTGTTACTTGGATGAAACCCTTCACACAATAATTGATAGACTGACTGATGCAGGGGTGAGTGAGTCCAAGACATGTTTCATCTGTTTACAAGAAAAATTATTTCTTGCTGTGGAAATAGGTCTAATGCATCCCTGAAATCAAGCCTGTGCAGATTAGTTCTGCGTGTGGTAAAATTTAAAAAGAAAGACAATAGGCAATTCCTGAGTTCCAAAAACTCTTACTTTCAAAACAAGACCAATTGCAAAATCTCTCCATTGAGAATGAGTTTTATTTGCATGGGTATAGAAATTTATTTTCATATTAATGGCTTTGCACTTAGCCTCGCTTTGAAACTGAGGCTTGAGGCAACTTAGATATGGCCCATTGTGATGCACTCTACAAATTGCAGCTATGTCTGCAGGGTGGCTGGGTTAATCAGACTTCTAAATTCTGTTTCTGCCTCTCTAGGTTCATCGCCTTGTTATTGTTGATAAAGATGATCGTTGCATTGGAGTATTATCATTGTCTGACATTCTTAAGTTTTTAGTTTTGAGGCCAGTTGGTATGTCTGCTTTCTAATTTGAGCTGTAATAATTGTAACATTCTGTTGATAATGTTGATTTTTGCAAACCTTGTATCACATTAATTTGGCTTTTCCTATGTGGTCAAATTATTTAAAATATTTAATTGAAAACTTTGAAATTTCAGTTGTAGTACTAGACATACAGTTTCGTAAGTTTCTGTATTTTTGATGTTTCCTGATTGTCTAAGTTTACTTGATGTCTGTCTTCTTTGTTTATGATTATGATATTTCTGCCTTTAAACCTGATTTTCTTTTTTCTTGATAGTATAGCTTCTGAGTATTATAAGAGATTAAACAATTTCTTACACAAAAGGTATATATAGTACAGGTACATAAGGTTGTCCTAACCCCTTTTTCATTTATTTTTCAGCTTTACAATCTGCCACTGAAATTTAGGGTTATTGACTCTTACCTCTTCACTACTGGCAACAAAAAAGTTTAGAGATGGTGTTAGGGATAAGAAAAGGTTACGTTAGTGCAGTGCAGTGGAACCTCTATATAACGAAGTCCTTGGTATAGTGAACGATTTTCTTTACCCCAGTTATTGTAAAGCATGAAAAAGAACCTTGATATAACGAAACCTCGTTATCATGAATAAATTTTGCCATTCCCTTGGTCCTTTGTTATATTGAGGTTCCACTGTACCATTCAGCAGCGTATGAGGAGCCCACACAGAGTTTATGTGGTGTTAAGTGTTCTTGCAGTTGTGGTAATGAGTCATTAATTGGGCCTTTAGTCCAACATGAACAGAGAAAAAATTCCTAGTATTCTGTGATGTGTGCATTGCAGCTGCTTAAAATAATGTAATTTTTGCCTTCTGTTNAAGTTTACTTGATGTCTGTCTTCTTTGTTTATGATTATGATATTTCTGCCTTTAAACCTGATTTTCTTTTTTCTTGATAGTATAGCTTCTGAGTATTATAAGAGATTAAACAATTTCTTACACAAAAGGTATATATAGTACAGGTACATAAGGTTGTCCTAACCCCTTTTTCATTTATTTTTCAGCTTTACAATCTGCCACTGAAATTTAGGGTTATTGACTCTTACCTCTTCACTACTGGCAACAAAAAAGTTTAGAGATGGTGTTAGGGATAAGAAAAGGTTACGTTAGTGCAGTGCAGTGGAACCTCTATATAACGAAGTCCTTGGTATAGTGAACGATTTTCTTTACCCCAGTTATTGTAAAGCATGAAAAAGAACCTTGATATAACGAAACCTCGTTATCATGAATAAATTTTGCCATTCCCTTGGTCCTTTGTTATATTGAGGTTCCACTGTACCATTCAGCAGCGTATGAGGAGCCCACACAGAGTTTATGTGGTGTTAAGTGTTCTTGCAGTTGTGGTAATGAGTCATTAATTGGGCCTTTAGTCCAACATGAACAGAGAAAAAATTCCTAGTATTCTGTGATGTGTGCATTGCAGCTGCTTAAAATAATGTAATTTTTGCCTTCTGTTTTGCCAGTTGCTAACATTAGATTCATGTTAATTTTCATTTTTGGCACACTGGCTGGGTATCTAAAGAAAGGCTGCAGTGGAAAGGTTTTTTGGCATATCTGTCACATTCAGGGCACTTTCAAATAAAGACAGTAGTCAAGGACATGAAAACTCTGAAAGTCATTTATTTTTCGGACATAGATGTACTATAATCATGTTCATGTTAACTTGGAATTTATGTAGTAGTGAAATGACAGATATATATAAGCAGTTGGTTGCAGAAGTGTGAATCTTGCTGACCATTTTTAATGTTATTCTGGAATGCTGACTGAGTGTTGTGTAAAATAGATTAACCACTTGTTGAGTTGTAAAAATATGGTAGCATGGATGGGCATAATGTTAATCTCTATGCACAGATGCTGTTTTACGATTTCATGGCTGCTATTCAGGATCCAAACTAAACACTCATCAGCTTTATGCTCATGCTTGCATCTTATATGTAGGTCATGTGCTATTAATTTATGCTGTATGTTGTTGTTTCTGTTATTGAGTTTTTTTGGCCATTTTACAATCGTCATTTTTTTTGTAGTTGCCACCTTTTGCTACTTATAATCAGAAAAAATTACTCTGGTAAAACAAGTTCAATAAAAAATAAAATATAGTACATATTTTAATATAAGATTTAAATCAATCAGAAACAGAAATTAAAATATGTTGAATGATTAATAACCACAGTATCATTCCTTTTAAGTTAAGTCCTTTTAGTTATTGTAGAAAGAGGAATGCATTTTCACGTTAAAGTTTTTTCTGATAATGAACAGCAAAAGGTGTATTATTACAGTGATTTTGAAAATCAGTTAGAAACTTATATTCAAAAGCTCTTGACTAAACAGGTTTTAATTTTAATGGGTTGGGGGGTAAAAGAAATGGATTTTAGATTATTAATGCAGCTTGCTTGCTTGCTTCTCATTCTTCCCTGCTGGATAATATTGCCATTGTGGAAAAATAAGGCCTAAGCTTGTAAGGCTTAAGATGTACAGAACCTCACACGTGGCAAAACTGTATTAATAGATCTCATCAGGAGTTCTGGATTTTTATTGTGTATTTTTATGCTGTACTTATGGTTAATTTGAACTAAACTTTAGTTTCATACAAAAGTTTAATTTGTTTAGGAAATTTAATAACAGAAGAAAGCTGATATTGAAATTATAAGATAACTAGTAAACTATTTTTACATTCAGTATTTATAAACTTCCCTTTGGTAACTTGAGAGTAAGTACATGTTGCTAGGTAGTTTTTAATGTTGTTTGGTCAGTGCTTTTGAACTAACCACAGGTCTTGAAAGAACAGTGATATAAGGCATGCACTGTATGTCCATCCTGTTTGTTTCAAGCAAGGTTTCAAAAGGGTATGGTGTTTGTATTAAACAGAAGGTTTTAGTTTCTTATTTGAAATAAATTATGGTGACAAAGTTGCTGTCTCCAGAGTTTACTTATTGAAGTTTGTTTTTACAGTAAATATATACACTCTCCTTGAATTAAGTCGTGTTGTAGGAAGTCTGCCTGGTAGAGATAAAAAAAGACGGTAAACATGCCGTTATTAGCCCTAGGCTTATACAACTTCATAAGCTCTAAAACTTCATCAAAAATCGAATTCATTTCCATAAAAGCTAGAGGGAGCTTACAATGTCTATCCGGAGCGAGGGTTTATAACGCACATATATTTTTTTGTTTAATGTTAGATGGGCCTCTAACTGGGGAGTGGGAGTTAAGCTTATGGCATATATTAAAAAAATTAGACAGAGTGTTCTCTTGCAATATCCAGACAAGAAGTGGGCTGAAGGAATTCAAAGCTCCAATTTTCAACATTTTGTGGTTGTTAAGATCTGATTTCCATATGTCCTTTGCAAGTGTGATCTTTGTTTTCTGTTCATGACGCATTTATGAGTTTGAAAAGTCTGATAAAGACGTCACAGTAATTTGATAACTCAGTTATAAAGAAATTTCGTGTACTGTTTTAAAACTGTGCTTAAACTCTGTTGAAATGGCTGCGTAGCAGAACCCTAGCTATGTATTTTTGTGGGGTAGTTGTCTAGAAGAGAAACTTTGCTTAGCAACTTAATGTCAAGAAGATATCAGTTTTTTCCTCCTTGTTTAGTTCCTATTTTGTTATTTCTGTACATCCCCACTGCCGACATAACATATCCCAATACCACTGATTTCATTATGTTGCTAATGTGATCCAACCTTTGGTAATGGGAGTTACTGGAATGATGTGGCAGTAAGTTAGGCATGTGTTAAGTTGTGTATTAACTAACAAAGCTTTGTTGAAATGATAAATATACAAATTTCAATAGTTTTTGTTGGTTTTTATTAGAGACCTCCAGTCCTGATTGAAGTCTTACAACAATACACCACCTAATCTTTCAATTAACTAGCTTAGCCTTTCATATTATGGACTATTATAATTTAAATTCATTCTCAATTAAATAAATTTTATAATTTATTTATGTGTTGAACACTATGTATTCTAAACAACTGAAAGCAGTCCCTCTGCAGGTTTGTGGCATGGGTGATGGGCTCAACTAGCTGACTGAAAAGGTACTACTGACTGCATGCGGCAGAACTTGGGATAATAATCACATGATCATGTACCTGCTTTACTGAGCTGAAAACACACAACCCATGTCAGCTGCACATTTTATAAACAGTGAACTTTATTGCTAGAACTGTGAAAGGTTTGAACCCAGGAGTCATTTCAAAAGTAGGTTGAGTTTGATCGTCCGGGTGATCATAGTCCTGAATAGGACTGTTGCTGTTGACAGTGACTGATGTTTCAACAACCTGTGCGGTAGTCATCTTCAGAGTCAAAGTGAGTTGTATCACCAGAGTATAATACCATCAACTGACGTGATACAACTCACTTTGACTTTGAAGATGACTACCGCACAGGTTCTCGAAACAGTAGCCACTGTCAACAACAACAGTCCTATTCAGGACTACATTCACCCGGACGATCAAACTCAACCTACTTTTATTGCTAGAATTACTACCTTATACCAAGTGAAAAAGGGCACAATAAAAGATAAGAGGTTTCATGCCAGCTTCGTCCCTACGAATAATTTGGGACAGGTTGGATCTGCTCATTTCCTTATTTGAGGGATCTGACCTTGGCCATAGCCCATTGCTCTATGTTTTAAAAAGCTCCTGTCTTATGAGAAGCGTGACACTGGCTTATGGTGTAAACAAGTCAACAATAATGTACTCTTCATGTTACATTTCTCATAATAACAATTAAATAATGTACCAGTTGAGTTTATTTCTTTGCTACTGCTATTTAAACAACAGACTGAACTTTCTCTGACATAGTCAGTGTCTATGCACATACACCAATTTCAATATTTTATAATTTATTCATACTTGGCTCCGACGCTTGGGTGAATAAAACGAAAGAAAATTATTTTTTTATTCCTAAATCTTATTGCTTTTTTTGAAATTTTTTGCCAAAAAGCCTCAGAGCAAAGTATGATTTTGAACACAATAAAACTGGTCTATTTTCTTGAAAAATAGTGAAAACTTTATAGGCTTAGGGCACATTTTCCGAACTACCGCTGGGAAAAGTTTTCCACAAAAAAAAAGTTCAATTATTACAGGAATTATTTGGTACACCAACATGGCTGCCTTATTACTGTTTTGGCACAAAAAATATAGCCTTTGTGACTACATCTGAAAAACTAGTTATGATATAAAACAAAATTTCAGAATACAAATTGTTCTAACGTGGCAGTTAGTATAACTTTTTACAAGTGTGAAATGTTTTATTTACAAAAATATCTGAAACCTAAAAAGTTAGTTCTATTTTTTATTTGGTAATTATCCTAATCATAAGTAAACTGCCACTGCTGCAAAGGATGGTCATCACAAATTGCCATCTTGATAGAATTCTTTCCAGTAGCAGCCATGCACATACCAGATGCTGTGTGGTATATCTGCAGAGTCTTCTGAAAGGAAAACAAACTGTTAAATAAATGCTTAACACAATGAGTCACATCAACTTACAGCAGAGAACCTTACAGCATTTTATTATGTGCACCTTATTTACATCGTACAAAGTCCATACTTGAGAATCTGTGGACAACTTCACTAAAAATGGGGACTTCTTTGAAATTTATTATTTTACAGGGACATGTACAGGTCTAAGAATTGCATTTTTATGGACCAAACCAAAGTCAACATCAATAACACCAGAAAAGACCATGGCCAACATCCAGCCATCTTGACCACAAAAGCTTACTGAAGGACTTTTCATTTACAAGAACCACCTAACTACGAACCATTTATAATAATTTTGACCTTTATGGGAAAATGGGCTAAAATTCAAACAAAAGCAAACTCAAGCAGAGAGTTGACTGTAAAGAAAGCTAAGATCTGTAACTACATGTACTTGAATGAGTGAATCATGTAAAATGCATGCACATGCATTGTGAATGGCAGATTGAATTATAATTGAGCTTCCATCACTATGAAATATGATGTAGTTGATTCCTCCAAGTAACTCCTATCCCTTAATTAAGGGCCGGCTCAATAAACAGCATACACATACCTTGTTATGGTACCACAACTGTGTCCCTCCTTGACTGTGACATTTCATTACTTTTGGTACTTCATTTCTGTTCATGTCCAAGCAGAGAAGACTGTCTATCTTCAACTCATTTAGTTCATTTAGAGACCAGAACTGTAACAAAGAAATATTATGTTGACAGTCAGAGACAAAATAGCCTTTCCAACAGGATCCAATATAACCAGACAAAGTTTATCCTTTTACGAACAAGCCCGAGTTATGCCATCATGATATTATAGCCAAAGAAGTGCAAACATTAATTTTGCAAAAATAATATATTTCATTTAAAATCTAGTTTTTAATGCTATTTCAACAGCTTAATGACAGGAATCAAATTCAGCTGAGTTTAGTTTAAGTTACAATGTTCCTCAAAGCTAACACCTCATTGCTCAAACAATAAATAAAGGGGTTCCTAGAAAAGGGGTGCTTTGTAATGACCTAGTAAACAGTCACAAGCGCCCATTTTCTAGGGAACCCAAGTCAATCAATTAGCAATATTATTTGTAGACATAGGTTGAGGTCTTCTTTCATGATTATAATCTGTGACTAAAGAACTCACAATCTGGAGCACCCATTACATGTCTTTTAACCTGCATGCATTCTTTGTTTTAATGTATTTGCAAAATTAGAATAGTATTTTGCTATACATGTCTTGTCGTCACCTTTGCATTTGTCTCCTGACAGTTGCGCAACACAACAGCAGCTTTCTTTTTAGCCACATGACCAGGAGTGTCCAGACACATTGTGCTGCCCAAGTTCTGAAGCTGTTAATGAATAAAATAATTATTTACAGGGTGAGAGGAATATTTTAAGAGAATTGCTTGCTCCTCAAGACAGTTGTTGCTAAGGTTTACAACCTTGGAGTAGTCCTAATGGCCTACTAATCTCCCTTTCTACTTGTATTTCCTCCTTTTATATCTTTGCAAGTTAGCTGCTTTCATGCCTCCTACATTGTAGGGTTGACTCGACCTGCTAACTCGAACCCTCGTGTTTACTCACACCAAAGTTGATTTAATGATTTCCCCTGGATTTCCTTCATACATTACTGTAATGTTAGCCTCGGTAACTTGAAACTCCTGCTAACTTGAAGTAATTTTTGTTTCCCTTCAGGTCATTTCTATACTGACAATTTTACGCTTGATAACTCGAACCTCGTTTTAAGTGCGTGACAAGTTGCAAAAAGAAAACAGTGTTCTGAAGACCAAAACACTGAATTTATTTCAAAACAATCGCGTCACTTTTTTGTAACACAAGTTCAAATTCAGTGTCCATCCCTGTATATTAATCGAGCTTTGTTACTTAACTCCTTTTTCAAAATATCAATCTATATCTCTTGCTGTTCTTGAAGTGTAGTATGCATGATACTTGTATTCCCTCCCCTTCCATTTGTTTATTTCCTTATTTCTGGTTATTTGTTTTGAACTCCTGATAACCTACACTTTTTATTATTTTCCTAGAAGGTTTGAGTTACATGTAGCGGGATGTCGACTGTAGTTACAATAATTGCTAGCCCAATGGGTCTCTGCTGTACACTAGCCCTGGGCTTTTGGACAGCACTTTTGTCAGTCACCTTGAAATAACAAAGATGCAACTTTATTGAAAGTCAACAGGGCTGTCATTAACAGGCAGGGGTCGGGGATTTCCCCCGGCTACTATGAACATGGCCCCCGGCTACTTTCAAAGGAAAAGAAAAGAAAATGGAACCAAAAGAAACCCTTAGCTGTTTGATTCCCCGCCTACTTATTGTATTTACCCGGCACCTTGAAATCTTAGTGACAACCCTGGTCAATAACTGGGCTTTTTTTCATGCATCCCTTCAACAATTTCCATGTCAGGGGTACAAGAGCATTCATTGACTCTTAATTTAAAATGAAAGATTGCTGCTGACTAAACCCTTTTCCAGTTAAGAGATATATCCTCAGGCTGCTAATAATACAGTACAGGTACAGGATTGTAAGGTACAAAAGCTGAGGAGGGACTTCAGAGTTCAGACTACAAAGCTGAACTCCAGATCTCTGATTTATGACATCAAATGCAGTTCTTACATGTTGCTGTGTAAGTTCCTCACGCAGTTATGTTTGGTATGCTTTAGATTGTTGTTCAAAGTGATGCCTAACTGGATCCACTTTTTAGTTAAATGAAACAGCTAAACAGACGTTTACTTTTTTTGTACAGGTTATCTTTACTCGTCATCTAAAAACATGTTTTGCATCTCCAGCTGTGTTATGCTTGCAGTGCAGCTATGCAGGTTTAACCTATCGTTTATACATTGTTTATATCACTTAATACACAGCAACATATGGCAACATGCCAGAATTGCGTCTGAAGTCAGAAATCCCTAGTTCAAACTTTGTAGGTCTGTCTACTGAAATCTGAAGTGTAAAGTGTGAAGTCTGAGGTCCCTCCTCATCTTTCGTAGTAACATGCATGCAATACATAGTTTCACAAATAAAACTGTCACTGATTACAGTAACTTACGTTGCCCTTCTCTTTGATGATAGGATTCTTCTCTGATGGACGCTGCCATGCAGCAGCTGCTTTACCATCGTCAGGAAACCGCAGTTCTGGATAAACATTCTCCACATACCATCTAAAACTCTTGCAGTTCAATTTCTTTCTTAACGCCACTCTAGTGCTCACATTTCCAAATGGCCTGCCAACTAGATTTTTCTTGACTTGATAAAAGTACTTCTTATAGTCATCCAGCCAAACTTCTGCAACTCTCATTGAGTTATATGACAGAGTATCACCTTTGGAGTCTGAGCCATATGGCCGCCACCTTCGGAAGAGATGTCCTACTCTAGAGCATGGAATTATCTCTAATGTTCCTCCACACATCCAAATCTATAAATAATTTAAATAAATAAATTATTATGCTCAAGTCAGGATGAGAAAAAAATAGAAAAATTATCTTGGGTCTAAAAGAGGCAAATGTTTTCTTGCTTATCTAGCAACTTGCTATGGCAACTGGACAGTAGTCTAATGTTCTGCTATCCCTGAGGCCTCATTTTTATGAAGCCAGCCTATACTAAGATGTTTCTAGAGTGTGGTCCTTATTATTCTGAACAACACCCCATTCTGAGATATCTTCTACTTCAGGCACCTTCACCAATCCAGGTCAGGGCAACTGGATGCATGGTGGGCACTTTCCTTTTACTTAGAATGCAAAATTAGAACAAGATAGACTGATCCAATGAATCAATTAATGACTGCTGAATGTGTTTAGCTGTTTGCTTGTCTGATGTGCTTTGACCTGAGTTGGGGGCAGGAGAGGGGGCTTGAATGAGAGGAGAGTGCCATGTCATTTGACGGATAATCACTGAGAAGCCTGTGGACAAGTGTATAAGCAATAAAATGTAGTTAACAAGGAATTCTGGGAAACTGTGTGGCAAAAAAATGGTGTGACAGTTGAGCTGCAAAAGACAACTATCATTCTTACCCTGAAAGAAATTTCCAAATTTTCACCACCCCATATATCCATGCCTGCATCATACTGACCAAGTTCATTGAAGTAATTTCTATTTATTGCAAACAATCCTCCAGCCATAGTGGGTGACCTGTTAGAATGAAACAATAACCACAAATTTGTTAGACTTTCATCTTTCCTCATACATGTATCACAACATTACATGTTGTGATACATGTATGAGGAAAGATGAAAGTATAACAATTTTAACATTTGTTGTAAAAATAAATATTGCTCACACACTGAATGCCATTTGGCTGCCACACAATCGTCACAAAAAATTTACAATGGACAAAGGAAAAAACCTTTCTGAACCTTTTAGTAATACAATGCTGTCAAACTAACACACTCTTATTAATTTTTTGAACTGGCAACGGGTGGGAGGGCAGGAAAAAGCTGTTGCACTGAACAGCAAAAAACAAAAAGAGTATGGAAACTGATAGCCTAAAATGTCATTTGTACCCAGGTTCCATAAGTGTAAGAGAACTTCATATTTTCATGCCTCTTTTGCAAGCTCAGCCAGTAAAAAAACATACCAAGGTCTTTCAAAAAAAGATCAGGGGCCAGAATTAGTGGAATACAGTTATCATGTAGGTTGTAATCGCTTCTAAACCTTTAACTAAACAGTGCCATGGATTAGCTTGAAATGTATCCCATCAACAGGGAGAAGCAGTGCTCCAAGGTGGTTGTTTTATGCTTTAGTACATTGAACATCTGAATAATATTACTTGAACTAAAAAGTTCTGTTCTACCTTATAGGCTGGTATACATCCCCAGATGGATCAAGCAAATGGTTTGGTACTGGTTCCCATGAAAAATGAAGTCCCCAGTTAAATCCTCCACGCACAAGTGGTGATGACTGGTATTCCAAAGTTTCTGAGCTGATTATGTCAATCATTGGACACACTACTGTCTTGGCATTATCCTTGATTCTCTCCAAAAGTGGTGGCAGCCACTCTTTATTCACTTCACAATGACTGTCCAGAAAAACTAACACTTCTCCAGAGGCATGCTTTGCTCCTAACATTCTCCCTCGTATAAGCCCTTCACGCTCTATAGCCCTAATTAATTTAATTTTAGGAAATTTGGCTACATAGTCTTCAAGTTTGCCCTTTAATTCTTCCAATGTGCTCTTATCATCAACCAAAATAATGTCAACAATCAAATTTTCCGCTGTGCGATCAAGAACGCTGTGTACTGTTCGTAGTAATGCTGACCATGCTTCATTGTGAAAGCAAATTATCACACTAGCAGATGGCAAATTTGATGGGTAAGACTTCAGTCCACACCTAAAAAACAGTTAAACAAAATTATTAAAACATAGTTTCCTCTAAAATTGTGGTCCAAATCTAATGTAGAAGAGTAATATACATGTATTGAATGAATTGGAGACCAAATCTTTATTTATTCCTTTCTTCAAGCAGTCCTATTGAGAATTCCAATCATTTTAGCGGACTGTGGTCTAACAGTCACCAAAAACCTTAAGTGACTTCAACTTGCCATAAGACAACAAAGAATCACCTACAAATTATCTTAGTTTTGCAGAAAAAATATTTGCTGGGCACCCACTTTGCTGGGTTAACAGCTATTGCACTCCCTACAATTCTATGAGAGTATCTTGCTTTGATCTAAGTATTGCTTCAGACACCACCTTCTAGGAGAGGGTCATTTAATTATAATATATAGATTTAGCCAGGGGTAAAAGCGAAGCTCTCGATAATATTTAATATTTTGTTGCACTGACACGTTGCAGCAACAAATCGGTCCGTGTGTACTGGAGAATTTATTGTAGAATTTTTGTCACTGCAACAGAATTTTGTCACCACGACAAGTCACACAAATTCAGTCCGATTTTAATTTTTTGTGACTTATTGCTGCAACAAACTTATGTTGCGGGGATAAATATTTTCACAAACATTCTCTAGTATTCACAAAGTGATTTGCCACTGCGACGTGTCGCTGCAAGTAGTTGCCTGACCTGTACACACAGAGTGATCTGTCGCAGCAACACGTCGCTGCAACTTGCTACATAGTGTTTTCTGACCCTTAGCCTTGACATAGCATACTTACATCTCGTGTCTTGTATCTTGTATTTCACGGTGAAAACCTAATCTGTTGCTTATTAGCTCATTAAAAGCATGCTTTCCATAACCTTGCTCTCGGATCCTTTCGTCTTCATGATTTCGAATCATGCCCAGCGTGCTAATGATGTCCTCTTGTACCAATTCTCTCTCAAAAAAATAATCTGTTGGGCTGTCATTTTCAAGATGCCTTCTCTGACCCCTTGTTACATAATTACTGTTACCAGTGTACATGAAGGACATAACGTTGAAAAAAATCCAGAATGCCAGAGTCGCAAACGTGGACAAAAGACAATAACGTGCTGGTAACTTTAAACCCATGTCAACTGAAAGTTTGCCAAACCTTTTGTCCAGTGCAAAGCACTGTCACTTTCACAGCGTGCGAACTGAAATAATTTTATCGGAATCGTGTCACTGAAAAGCACAAACTGAGGCATATCATAGCACATTCAAAATCATCAAATTCCCCCCACTCTCACACGCCATTCTGATACGTTTGATCTTGTCTACATGTGTTTAGTAAAGGTACACGCGCACGTCGATCAATCCAAAAATCTGCAAAAAGAAAATGTATTAACAATAATATTAATATTATTAATAACAAGCGAGTATATTAGTAAATTAAAACAATACAGGGTGGCAAATTATTTTAACTCAACACAAAAAGCTTAAACTTTTATTTTCCCAAACTAGCAGAACGAACAAACAACCTCAAAACTCGACAACAGATTGTGAAGCACCTAATAGACCTTGTCACGGTTTTCGACGCCATCTTGACGAGTAGCAAACATGTGACAAATCACAGAATTTGTATGAGAATCTGATGTCGAATAATTTCCGTAAAACGGCTGTTCTGAAAAAAATATGACTTGTTAACTACGAAACAAAGGATTGTACTAAAAAAATTGGGGGACCTACCTGTGCTTAAATGTCTCCGGAGGCTCGCTTTAGATTTTCAAATACATTTGTCTGTAAATTTTCCCGGGACTTTAACTTACAGACAAGTGTGGAGAAAATTTAAAAAACTGGGTCTAGGTCTTCTAGGGCATGTAACGCCCTCAATTTTTTCAGAAGAATCCTTAGGAGTGAAGCTTTAGTTTACAATTCATATTTTTTTTCGGAACAGCCGTTCTACGGAAATTATTCGACATTAGATTCTCGTACAAACACCGTAAATTTCTCACGCGTTTGTCTACTCGTCAAGATGGCGTCGAAAACCGTGACAAGGACCATTAAACTTACTATCAAAACCATAACAAAGACGAGGCCTACCCTCCCAGGGGTTTTTCCTAGCCTGAATCAAATGAATGGATTTTCACACCACATGTAAGAAACGTTCTAGACTAACAAACCTTCTTCCCGCCAAATTTTGAAAGTGAAAACAAAACAAGGCTATGATTTTGTACAAAAGAAGAAACATACAATCCCGACTATATTCTCCTTGGGTTGGAATATGTAGTGGTACGACTTCTAGATATAAAGAAGACCTCTCCGCAGCCCATTTAAGACCATGTGAGAAAGGAAATATAGATGTATTGCTTTTGAATACTATGAGGACCTCGAAGAAGTGAATAATCGATAATCGCGTGAACAAGGATAACGAAATCTACAATTCTATTGGCTGATATTGATACGTGTAGTTGCTGTCATGGTTCAATCACGTGAGAGTAACATGCTGTAACCTTCCCGAAATCCTTTCCGTTCTGTACTATTTGCAGATGTTCGGAAAAGTCCGTAAGAGGTCGGAAATTTTCGTAGATCACATGGTATATGATCGCCGGCGCTGCACACTCACAATTCTTCTCCGCCATGTTGGTTCATGGTTTGCGACGAGCGGCAAGAACCGCTGTGAGATCTAACTTTGTTGCTCGCACCTTAAGACAAACACAGAGGAGAACACTGCCAGTATGTTCGCAATTGTGTAAGTAATAAAATTATTGTGTTTACGCATTCCTTTTGTAGATGGGAGTGTTGCACTGTGAAGCGGACGCCGGGAAGCCACGTTGAGGATGTCTTTGATTTCAAGTCACATGCGATGAAATGTACCCTGTATGAACCTCCATTGTGATTGCTTTGAAAGTCATTTCTGTTAAAATTTTATTTTTGTTGTGAGTTATTATGGAAGAATTCTGGTTTATGGCCTCATGATCATTTGTACTTATATTGAACTTTGCATCCAGTATTGCTGGAGCTTAGCAAGTAACTTACATTTTTTCCTTCATATTTATTCATCCAGATAACCGCCGCTATGTTTCAACCGATAAACCTGTGTCTGCCGCAGCTGCCGCTGCCTCTCCTAAAACATCGACACCCGCAGCGTCAAAGCCTGGAGCTGTTGGAAAAATTATTGCTGTTATTGGTGCCGTTGTAGATGTTCAATTTGAGGAGGGTCTCCCTCCCATTTTGAACTCACTGGAGGTAGAAGGCCGTTCTCCGAGACTTATCCTTGAAGTCGCTCAACATTTAGGTAATAATGGATAATTTTCGTACTTTTTAATTTGAGTTGATAAAATGTGACTTAAATTTTGATATCAGAAGATATGTAAACGCACGTACCCCTCCCGTCACCAACATTAGGGAACTTGAGCAACGACGATGGCAACGAGAACGGGAAAGCAATAAGTTTAGATTGGTAAAACAACAGCTGTGCACATGCATCACGCTTTTTTGTACATTTCTTTGCTGTCACTGCCTGACTTTCACATGAAAGTGCCAAATTTCATGTTTTGTTGAAGATGTGAACACAAGACGGCTTTCTTTTTCTTTTCCTGAACTTTGATACTGTCTCTTAGAATTTAACTCCAAAAAGGTTTGCCATCATTTGACGAGCTGAACGAGTTGGAATAAGCATAATAAAGTTTGAAGTAGCGTGAATTGACTTTTTAAGTGACGTTTTTGTAGCCATTGCCGTCATTTTTGCTTAAGCTCCCTATTTTCATTCCTTCACGCACGTTCTTTCTTCTACATTTATATGACTAGAATACCATACAGTGCCATGGTTTTATGCATGTTAACTTGGTTACATCACTGGACCACTCACCTACATGTATAGTTTACAGTCCTGTGGTAAACTTTGTTTGATCCTTATTACAATGTAGGTGAGAACACTGTACGAACCATTGCTATGGATGGTACAGAAGGTCTCGTCAGAGGACAAGTGTGTAAAGATACAGGAGGTCCTATTACAATTCCAGTTGGCCCAGAGACATTAGGAAGAATTATTAATGTAATCGGAGAGACTATTGATGAAAGAGGCCCCATTGGTACAGACAAGTAAGTGATCACTGTAAAACAAAATCATTTGCATTCCTGAGGAAAACTGTCTACCATAACCCTGTGAGACAACAACAACTTTATCTTTAACCATTATTTTGAACAATAAAATGTGCAAATGTAGCTTATTGATTACATAAGATATCGGTATTCTTTCTGAAGTAACTATAGAGACTGAGGGTATGTCCCAGATTGAACATAGACGCAAACTTTACAGCAGTAACAATTAATTTTTTCAAGAAGGCTGTGAAAAAGTTCCAAAATCTCCTGCAAATCTTCCAAAAAATTTTTGCAATTGTAATGTAAATGAACAATCCTTCACTGTACTTCTTTGATATATTCTGTTCTCTGGATGATTAACTTTTGTAGACGAGCTGCAATCCACGCTGAAGCACCAGAGTTTGTTGAAATGAGCACAGAGCAGGAAATTCTTGTTACAGGAATTAAAGTTGTGGACCTTCTTGCTCCTTATGCTAAGGGGGGAAAGATTGGTATGTTTCAGTGGCCTTTGGTGAGAATAATACTGTAGTGAATATGTCTGAAGGCATGAAGAGTCATCCCTTACTCTCTGTTTACACTCTTTGGAATCTTTTAATATTTTAATTGAACGGCTTTCAGTCATTGCCAACAATGCCTTGCGGATGCAATGTGCCTTTACTTCATCGACACTTGTGTACTGATTCAGGTTTGATATTGACGTTTGAAGTAGATGACATTTATAGCAGACTAATATTATCATGAAAAAAAAAATTGCCGCAATTTTGCAGTGATTTTGTTACCTCTGCATCCTGTGTCCTTGATGCATAAAAATCCCGAAGGATACAAATTAAATCATGGCATGGGTCCCATAGGATGATCAATTGATCTATTGATCTGAAGATGTTTTTGTAGAATATCCTGTTCGTGCAATTTCTGTGGCTGTTATTTCATCTTTTTTTGTGATTTGAAAAGAAGGACTATATTGTTATTTCAGGAAACTGTTATAAAGAGATTTCAAGTCTTTCTTCAGATTAACTGCTTGGTTACATAAAAGGCCCAAGCATTTTCAATTTAGGACTCGGTTGCTTTTTGAACTGGGGCTCATTGGTTCTGCACTTGGACTCATGATTTTTCACAAGATAAGTCCCAGGACTCACTAGAACTATTTGTAACAAAATCACTGTAACACACGATCAATGTTGGTAGTTTTGTATGCAGACATTGCTGCCTAACAGACAGAACTTCAAGAATTCTTACCTGGCTAACCGAGAGAAATTCTTGAATTGTATTGTGTTCGTCAACTGTTGACGTGACTGTGTGTTTATATACAAACTGTTTTTCTTTGTTTGTCATCAAGGTCTCTTTGGAGGTGCTGGTGTTGGTAAGACTGTTCTTATTATGGAACTGATCAACAATGTAGCTAAAGCTCATGGTGGTTACTCAGTGTTTGCTGGTGTTGGAGAAAGAACACGTGAAGGAAATGACTTGTACCATGAAATGATTGTATCAGGTGTCATCAGTTTGAAGGATAAAAGTTCCAAGGTAACAGATTGTTTTACAGGTAGCTATTATGACTGCTGAAGGAGGATCATGAGGTTATCCCTATTCTAAGATCTCTCCTTACAGACAACCCACCCAGCCCAGGAAAGGTTAGCCACACCACTGTGGTGTACATCCCCTACTCCTTTCAAACAGTGGTGTGGGTCTTTAACTTCCCACAAGAACCAGATAAGTGAAAGTGCTGTGAGATGGGACCAACAGTTTTTCGTCCTTATCCAAGAAGACTAGAATGCGTGACCATTACTTAAAGACCCCGAATGTTGATCCGGCCGGGGTTTGAAACCGCCAACCTTCTGCTAAGCAGACCGGCACACTCCCAACTGAGCTAGCTAGGTGGCAGTGTTGTAATTATTGTAATACAGATCATAGCATCATTTTAATGTAAATTAATACTATTTTTGAATTGTTTGTTTGAGGTGGCCCTTGTGTATGGTCAGATGAATGAACCCCCAGGTGCTCGTGCTCGTGTTGCTCTGACTGGTCTGACTGTTGCCGAGTACTTCCGTGATGAAGAAGGACAGGATGTGTTGCTTTTCATTGATAACATCTTCCGTTTCACACAAGCTGGCTCTGAGGTGAGTGTATATTCATTGACTTGTTTCTTCAAGTCAGTTTGGGGTCAATTTTAATGGAACTTTTTTAAGGTATCAGCCACCCTTCAGGACAGTCCGCGCGCGGATCGCTGTAGCGTTAGTTGTTTTTATAAAAACCCCTATAAACCATATATTTTTTAAAAGCTTAATAATTCCAGATTATGGATTTGAACTAACAAAAACGATTTACTTAAATGTGTTTCGAAATTGGAACGCTTTGTGTAAAAGTACACGTCTCTATAAATCATGTTCCACTCCCGCCGGAAATACACGGAAGAAAACAATTAACACCGCATTCGCTTCTCAACATGTTCCACTAAAAAACCGTGTCTCAGATTTTTGACAAGTGCGTTTGTTTTTCTTTTATTAGCAAATGAAGTTGGGGAAGGCAATTAGTCAACACTCTCTGTGTAAAAAAAGCTCTAGCTTTAAAATGAAAAGGAGTATTAAAATTCGCAGACATGGTTTTGTAGAAGAGATATATGGCATCACTCTGGCCAAATTTTAGCCAAATTGATTGAAAGGCTGCCGACTTGGAGTTCAAAACGTGCGAGTCGATCAGCAAAATTTGCGTTCGGAGATAAAATAGAAAATACATTTTTGGCGGCATCCTACCTGGAATGAGATTATAACACCTAAATGTTTATTCTGATTGATATCAGAGAGGGATCAATTTTCTCTAACAATAGGACTTTGACAGGTAACATGTAACAGGAACAAACTTTTTATTGCTATCAACATCTTCAAGTGAACAGTTTAATTCTCCGTTGGAAAACTTCCACTCTTTTACACCACGAGAAGCACAGTTTAATTCTTTCTTGAGCGCCAGGCCAAGGAAACTAAAAAACTTTGAAGCCGCCGAATGCCCACCACCGATTGCTCGAAGGCCAAGAACTGAGGCCCGGTTTATTTCAAACGCTCTGCTCTTCTCGGAAGAATTAAAAACAGAATTTGTCTTGTGCGACGGCCAGCTTTCATTCTCGCACTGGATTCTCCAGGTAGAACCAAGTCCATGCTTAGTCGCTACATTTTCCATGACTTGGACTCTTCCCTGGTAAAATCGACAAGATACAGACTTGTCCAGTTTCTCAAGCAGCTTTTCGCTCAACATGATAGCTCGACCACTTATTGTTTTCCACGTTCCATCAGCAGATGGGGTCGATGAGCTTAATTGGCTTTCTTCATCTGGTTCTTCAATCTGGATTTTGGAGCGGCTTGCACTCTCAGCAACTGCAGCATTTTCGCTTTTGTGAATATCCAACTCCTCGAGCCACTTCTCTTGCTGATAACATGAGCCTTTGTCGCTCTCTGCCAATTTTGCGGCCCATTCTTTGTCAAACTCGCTCTTCGATTTCTTTTTCACTCTCGGTTTCGATGACGAAAACGGACACGACCTTTTCTTTTTTTTTGGCGGCATTTTCACCGAAGCAAACGCTAAATATCCACGGAGAATACTAAAGGCTATAAACAACACGAAGACAATTCGCACGTGTTGTGTCGAAGCACGCACTCAGTATCACGTTACTAGTTCACAGGCAAGTTAATTGATATATGACACGGGTATAACAGATCTTGTTAACGATCAATTAAGATAATTAACGAGAAAAAATCTTTTGCCCCCGATATCTTTTCACAGAAATAATATTTTCTTCTGATTTTTTTTTTAAAAGAAAGCTCTCAAGCATATCTATTTGAAAACGTTGAAACCTCAAATATGGAAAAATGGCAATTTTAAGGGTGGCTGATACCTTAAGTGTTATTTACAAGTGTACACAATGTAGCTGTTGTCTTCAGACTTGTAAATTACGCTTGTAAAAGTTTTATTAAACTGGCCCCAGTACCCTGTGGCTAAACTATGCGGATGGTTTGATTCTTGGTCTTTAATATGCTTGCAGGTGTCTGCTCTGTTGGGGCGTATTCCTTCTGCTGTTGGTTACCAGCCAACTCTGGCCACTGATATGGGCACTATGCAAGAACGAATTACCACAACTAGGAAAGGATCTATTACATCAGNAGGGTGGCTGATACCTTAAGTGTTATTTACAAGTGTACACAATGTAGCTGTTGTCTTCAGACTTGTAAATTACGCTTGTAAAAGTTTTATTAAACTGGCCCCAGTACCCTGTGGCTAAACTATGCGGATGGTTTGATTCTTGGTCTTTAATATGCTTGCAGGTGTCTGCTCTGTTGGGGCGTATTCCTTCTGCTGTTGGTTACCAGCCAACTCTGGCCACTGATATGGGCACTATGCAAGAACGAATTACCACAACTAGGAAAGGATCTATTACATCAGTACAGGTAAATTGTCAACACAACACATGACAACATTATCATTTGCAAACCATGTTCATAATAATTATATTATAGTAATAATACTATGATAATGTACAGTGTAACAATGATTTGATTTGTGACTTGGCTTGAAAGATAGCATGTTACAGTACAGTTAAGCTTACATGTAGTTTAGGATTACAGTAGGGTTATTGTTAGGGTTATTTTTTACTTCATAAATCATGTTTATTGGGTTATGTTAACTTTTAATTTAGCCCAGATTAATGCACAAGTTAAAAATCATAGTACTTGCAGGGTGCAAGGGAAGTCTTTTTTATAGCTTGCCATTCGGGCAAGCTGAAGCTAACATTTGTGACCGTGAACGGGAAAACGTACCTTAACGCTTATCCGTTAGACAAGCAAAAGCGTTAAGCATCTGTTAGTCATCCGCCGTCGCTTCGAGACTGACTTCGTGACTTCAAAAGGCAGCGCTTTTCGCATGCTCGGTCAAGATAGAAAGCGTAATCTTTCGCAAATCCACGGCTGGCCCGGGTAAAACAGTTACTTTAGAAAAACTCTTGACAGAGTCATGGTGTAAAAATAAGTACAAGCGACAAATCCATTTGAGTAAAAAAATAAAAAATGTTCACCACGACTGGCGATTAAAATTGTTTACACACAGGTTTAGCGACGTAAGGTTTGCTTCTCACACGATAATAAAGGACTCGAATTCTGAGTTTCTCCGTCTCGATGAGAAAGTGAAAGTTTATATCCCTGAGTTTTGCTCTCGATTAATGCTCATCGTGGAAATAATTTTTTTAATGCTTGTCTCATCGACGACTGATGAAATCGGCACTTTGTGACTCGTTTTTTTTAAAATCGCGAGTGTAAGACTAGTAATGGTTTTGCACGATCATGTGTTTATAACATCTGACTGAAAGTAACTGTTATGCTATTCGTTTGTTAAAAGTCCTTAGATGTAAACCGTTAGACAAACGTTAAAAGTCCCTAGATGTAGAGCGTTAGACAACCGTTAAACGGCTCCAGTCATCCGTTAGAACAAACGGCATAACCGTTAGAACGTTTTCTTCATCCGTTAGACATACTTAGTTAGCCGTTAGATGGTTAGGAGAAAGCATTAGAACATTTTGATCATCTGTTAGGCACAACTAGATAACCTTTAAAACGTTAGGACAAAAAGTTAAAATGCTGTGAAGGCGGTTAACAATCCGCTAGCTATCTGTCCGTTAGCTATCCGTCCGTTAGAGAGCATTTAACGGATAAGCGTTAAGGTACGTTTTCCCGTGCATGGTCACATTTACTAGCCCAAAGATCATTTCAACTAGCCCCAAAAACGTTCTTCTGTAATTTGAATTCCTCAAAAAAATTCACTTGCCCATCGGGCAAGTTAATAACAGAATTCGCTAGCCCGATAGCAAAATCCACTAGCCCTGGGCTATCGGGCACTACTTTCTTTGCACACTGACTTGAAACCTGTGTACAAGCAAGTTGTTCACTTCTCTGTGACAGATTTTTATTTTGTTTAATTTAACATTGTTTTGTTGGTGTGAATGGGGCTTAAGTTGGGTAGGTAATAAAATGTGTCAAAAATGTTGAGCATTAAGAGGTGCTTTTTAATAACAGAATTAATGAGCAGAAACTTCTCAATATTTACTGTGTTGAGGGGTGCTTCTTGAAAGAATGTATGAAATCAATTGAACTACAGTAAATGTACAACTCAAACACTAGGACTAGTTTGGCAATACATTACCTCAGCCTTTTTATTTATTATGTGACAAGTAAGCATTTTGGTTAACATCAGTTGTTTTCCTTCACTACATCTGTAGGCCATCTATGTGCCAGCTGATGACTTGACAGACCCTGCACCTGCCACTACCTTTGCTCACTTGGATGCCACTACTGTGCTGTCTCGTGGCATTGCTGAGTTAGGAATTTACCCAGCTGTAGACCCTCTAGACTCTACATCACGTATCATGGACCCTAATGTTGTTGGACAAGAGCACTATGAAGTAGCCAGAGGTGTACAGAAGATCTTACAGGTAACAAACTATAAGTCATCTAGTTTTTAAGAAAACAGGCAAACATGGTGCTCGGTGATGGTAATTTCACAGGGAAGTGATCTTAGTAATGATAGCAGTTACATAAAAGAAGATGGAGAATTCAAACACCAGAAAGGTCAGAAAAATTTTCCGAGCTCCAGGTGAGAATCAAACTCATGACCCTCTGTGTTCTAGTTCGGACTCTCTAACCACTGAGCTACTGGAACTCTAGTGGCGAGCAGGGTCAGAATTTAAATACACGTACACCAGACTTAAAGGATTGCATCGGGGACTTGCTTGAAATTCGGCCATTCACCATTGACAAACCCAAGACTGTATATTTATACATACGTATTAAAGAAGATGGAGAATTCAAACACCAGAAAGCTCAGAAAAATTTTTCGAGCTCCAGGTGAGAATCAAACTCAAGACCCTCTGAGTTCTAATTTGAGCCCTCTAACCACTGAGCCACTGGAACTCTAGTGAGCAGGATCTGAAGTTGAATACAAGTACACCAGACTGAAAGGATTGCATCAGGGACTTGCTTGAAATTCGGCTGTCCACCAGCAGACAAACCCAAGACTGTATATAATATGTAGAAAGCTGTAGACTGTAAACACTGCTTTCTTATGACTATAATTATTAATCTATAATACTTATAACAATATGCAGTAACAAAAATTTTATTGCAATGTTGCAGTGTACATTAGTAAAATCAAGTGAATCCAAAAATTCTACCTAGCGAAAAAAAATTGGTTGTGTTCTGTACGGAAATTAACATGTTCATTTCAAGTTTCCATGTGGTTTGAGTGTTGTGTGGATGTTGTATGGGTCAGGGATTTGAGTTCTGTACAAGCCTGGATTTTTTCCTGGCTCTCTGTATGCAATTTAAGTAGTTATCTCTTAAATGGGTGTGTATTTTTTTTACGTTTTATTTTATGCGGCAAGTGATCTCATATTTTAATTTCAGGATCACAAATCTCTACAAGACATCATTGCCATCCTGGGTATGGATGAATTGTCTGAAGATGACAAACTGACAGTTGCACGTGCACGAAAGATCCAAAGATTCCTTTCCCAGCCTTTCCAAGTTGCTGAGGTGTTTACAGGTCATGATGGCAAACTTGTTCCCTTGAAGGTAATGTTTACATTGTGTCATGTAGTACCTGCTACAGTATTTGTACTTTGTTACTCGGTTTATGNGCGGCAAGTGATCTCATATTTTAATTTCAGGATCACAAATCTCTACAAGACATCATTGCCATCCTGGGTATGGATGAATTGTCTGAGGATGACAAACTGACAGTTGCACGTGCACGAAAGATCCAAAGATTCCTTTCCCAGCCTTTCCAAGTTGCTGAGGTGTTTACAGGTCATGATGGCAAACTTGTTCCCTTGAAGGTAATGTTTACATTGTGTCATGTAGTACCTGCTACAGTATTTGTACTCTGTTACTCGGTTTATGCACCACAGTTAGTAGTACCAAACAGTTGTTACAATTGTCATATATGTACATGAGGATTGGGAGAGCAAGCCACTGGAATGGCGTTAGAATCCAAGGAGTGTCAGTCATCTCCAAGCCTACCTTGTGACTGCTCCTCTGGTACAGGTTTGTCACGTATCTCAACATTTTACCTCGAAACTCCATTGGATGATACTTGTAAAGCAAGCAAGACCATGGTTTCATGTAAAGATTCTTTACTTTTTTGTTAACGTTTCTTCTTGTGGTTTGCTTTTAACAGGAAACCATCTCTGGATTCAAGAAGATCCTCAATGGTAAGTTTTCCTGATAACTGGTGCATTTTGTTTCGAAGATTTGTTATTTAGGAGTTGTGTTAAGAAATTGAGCTCAATTCATTCAGTAAGAGCTGTCCATCAGATTGAGCAAAACATTTAAATAATCGCTTTAAACAAAGGAAGTAAGTAAGGAAGCCAATACAAAAAAGCACTGACAGCAATTCTAAAGAGATTGAAGTGGGTTGCATTTGAGGTTTTGTGGAACTGTCCGGCCTAATAGCCTGCGTTGCAGCGGGTCCATGCACTCGTCTAAACCATTAATATATTCCATTTCCAAATAAGTGCACAAAAGCTTGTTCTAATATCCTGCAGAGTCGCAAGGACATATGTGAGCGTTTCTGATAGGTGGGTTTCTGACAGGTTTCTTATGCACCTCACGATTGGCCTAATTCTTACGTGTGCGTGACGGTTGAGCGCAGTGACATTTCAAAATTCACAGAAGGGAGTTGGCAAGGATTGTTTACAGTAAAAAATGAACAAGCAGTTCTAGCGTCAAAACAAAGTAGAAAATCATGATATTCCCAGCCAGAAAAAAAAACTAAACGCATGTAGCTATTCAGGTCAGGCATTTAGGAGAAAACCCAATAGACCAAGGTTATTTAGCCACAATAAAAAAGCTTAAGGCTTCAACGGAGGTAAAAGAAACTGCATCCGTGATCAAATCCTGTCAGAAAACATTTGCCGAAACATAAACCACAGTAACTAATTACTCAATATTACTCAATATGGAACAGACCAGCGTCATATCCTCTGAATGTGAGACTCAAAGCTGAATGGGTGGGACTTGATCCTAGCAAGTGTGCTATGCATGATAATGTACTGTGGAAATAATTTGTGTGATTATACTTCTACTAGGTGAATATGATCATCTTCCTGAAGTTGCTTTTTACATGGTCGGAGATATCAGTGAGGCTGTAGCCAAAGCAGAGAGATTAGCAGAGGAAGTGCAGTAAACACTGAACAGCTACTGTCGACGTTAACCACACTTGTAAATGTATTGCGTGTTCATACACTTGCTGTATGCTGTTTTTTTACATCATTGAAACTTGAATAAATTGAACTTTGAGATCCACTGAGTCCTAAGCTCTTTTGCTTGTNTAAACCACAGTAACTAATTACTCAATATTACTCAATATGGAACAGACCAGCGTCATATCCTCTGAATGTGAGACTCAAAGCTGAATGGGTGGGACTTGATCCTAGCAAGTGTGCTATGCATGATAATGTACTGTGGAAATAATTTGTGTGATTATACTTCTACTAGGTGAATATGATCATCTTCCTGAAGTTGCTTTTTACATGGTCGGAGATATCAGTGAGGCTGTAGCCAAAGCAGAGAGATTAGCAGAGGAAGTGCAGTAAACACTGAACAGCTACTGTCGACGTTAACCACACTTGTAAATGTATTGCGTGTTCATACACTTGCTGTATGCTGTTTTTTTACATCATTGAAACTTGAATAAATTGAACTTTGAGATCCACTGAGTCCTAAGCTCTTTTGCTTGTGGCGATCTGTTTGTAACTTGTCACAGAGGTCATTTATGAATTTTCTGACTTTATGGTACAAAATCACTCTAGAAATCCTGCGTGCCCTGATCACATGAAACTGTGGTTTGGTGTATGAATTTGATCTAAATAAACGCGGCGATTACTGCAAAAAGGGGTTATAATCAGAATTAAACATTCCATACAAATGTAGATTCTAATAAGAGACTTGTGTCAATAAAATGCTTGAATCTGAGTGGTTCTTAACAGCCGATATTTATAATGGTAATAGGACTGAGTGGAGTCCAATTCGGTCTGTAATCATACGAGTGATTAACGAAATCCGCGGGAGTCCGATTTGTTTAATCACGAGTATGATTACAGACCGAATTGGATGACACGAAGTCCTGTTACCAATTAATCATAAACGTTACAATTTCGCCATGCACCTTGAAATTCCTTGAAAAATGCAGTAGATGCTGGAAAGTCCTTGAATTTTAATGCTAACTTTATAGTTTATGTAGAACTCCAAAGAAAAGGAGCAAACGCAGAAAGACCTTCGGATAGAATTACTTGTGTTGTGGGAGAACTGAAAAAGACAGACTGAGGCTCTTTTTTGCAGCGAATGGAGTCCTTGAAAAATGGGAAATGTGTCCTTAAAGTCCTTGATTTTTTTTTTTTTTTAGTGGAAAAGCATTTGTATACCAAATGTCCAAAATTACGGAAAATGTCAATTGCGGATGGAGACTGCCGTTACAAATTCGTCCATTATGGAAAATCCCTAGTTTGGAAGGGAAAGTGGTTGCCGCCATTGTTATTGTGATAACTTCTGTGATTGGTGGATTTAGCCGAGTGCACTTAATTTGATTGGCTAATGTAACTGTTCGATTACACTGTCCAATTACCACCCCACACAATGATTAGTGAAAAATGAAGCAGTTAATGCACCAATCAAATTTGAGGAAATTGTAATGGTTATGAGTAATTTTTGGTAATAGCTTAATCATAACTAAAACAAAATTCTCAAATCTGGTTGGCCATCAACTGCCCTGATTTCAGCCTGAACAGGACAGTACGCGTCATCACGCGCGCGCTTAAATGGCTTCTTTTCACTGCTAGCAAAAAAAGATCTTGGAGTTTCTTGTGTTTTCGTTTAAAAAAGAGCCTTATATATCAAATTTTGTTTAAGTTATGATTCATTGGTAACAGAACTTCGTGTCGTCTAATCCGGTCTGTAATCATACTCTTGATTCAACAAATCGGACTCCTGCGGATTTCGTTAATCACTCGTATGATTACAGACCGAATTGGACTCCACTCAGTCCTGTTACCATTACTAATTTTGCTATTGAAAGCTGTCCGATTACCAGGAGCTCGTAATCGGGCAGGCCAACTTGGACAGTTAAAGAGCCAATGAAAATGAAGTATAGTAAATGCCACTAGCCATTGAAATTTAACTAATTATAAAATAACTGAGATAGTACGCCCAATTTGATTGGTCAAAACCTATGGTTTATTATACCGGTAAACCTATAGAAAAAGGCATCCGGAGCACAAGCCATAAAAAAAAACGGGCTATTCAGGCCCGTACGCTGGTTTTTGCCTGGGTGGGTTCTTCGGCTCGTGATTTACAAGCTTTTCTCGTGTTCTCCCAACATCCCGCGTGGGTTATCACGCCGGTAAACCCATAGAAAGCGTGGTCTATTGCTTAAATAACCAGCCAAAATCAATGAAAATATAGTGATAGGATAAGCTGTCTAGCTTCAACTGGAAAGGTTTTTGCCATGGAATCTGTAAGCTGTCAAGACAAGCTGTAATTTGATGCCATTACTTTTACAAATTTTCGCATTTTATTCAAATATTGACGCATTTTAATAAAAAAATGTATTTTTGTAAAAAAAAAAAGTTCTGCGGTCGGGCTTCCACACATTCCGATAGTTTCATCCAAAGCTGTAGCCGACGATGTTTGCTGTGGAATCTTTCTCTTACATTAATAAATATTCCAGGACTGATATTCTCGCATTTTGTTAGTGACACAATTAATTGGTAATAGGACTTGGTGTCGTACAGTTCAGGGGTAATCGGGCTCGATTTGAAGTTACTCGCCCGATTATTCCCTGAATTGTACTCCACTCAGTCCTATCACTATTATTAGCATCAGACTCAAGGCGCTTAAGACTAAGAGCATTTGGTCAGCAGGAAAAGTGTTCTGTACGAACATGTGGGTCAGTTTCGGATGTGATTTATGAAGACCGCTTTCATAATTCAGTGTACTCAGAGGTGAATCAGAGAAAGCACTTTCAGTTCCAGTGTCAACAAAAGAAATCACTGGATCATGAGCGTGGAAACTGAATTGAACCGCAACACAGTAAACAATACTGATATTTAATTCAACGACTTTGTTCACAGTTGCTTACTAATAGATACAATCAGCCTTCGAATGGTGAGGAACGAGGAAGAAGGCTGTATTCGCACGGTGAAGGTACCATCTCTTGTCGCCCGCAATAAAGGGAACATTGTCTATAAATATCCTGAAATCCTGTTAATTTGATAATTTTGAATGTTATAGTCAAAGGTAATAAATATCTTTGAACTGGAATGCCTCTTCTTTGCGACGGCAATCTCGAGACGTTTCAGTGTTCAATCGCTTTGTTATGCAGAACATTTTCTTTCGTAAGGTTATTTGTCTTGGTTCTATAAATGCTACCATTTTTCGCCACGGCTACACCGAATTACAGTGGAAGTTCTCGTTAGCGCCCACCCTGGGGACGCCAAAAAGGTGTTCGTCATGGTTCTTATAACGAAGGGCCATAGAGGTGTAAGGATGTTTGATCGCTTACGGGAGCTTGCACTGCTACAACTATAAACATCGGTAATGAAAAAAAGTGTTGTTAGTGTTTGGCTATACTGTTGTTCTAACCGCAATGTTGTACAGTGTAATTCAGTCACAAGCACAAAATTCAAGTGGTAGTTTGAAGTGTACTGGCTGTATGTGAAAACAACAAGCAGTAAAACTTAAATATTAATTGCGGCGAACAGTGACTCTAAATACAGGAGTTTAAAAACGAAAGCAAAATCTAACTCGTAACCCCTGAAAGTGCCCGCGGCCTCTTACAGGAATGTAGCAATAAATACAGACTGGGTCTGTATGGGAGATGAAGACTAACGTAAGTGGAAGTTAGTCGAGCTAACTGTCCGCTTACGAGGGAGTGTCCTTAAAGAAAGTCGACTTCCACTGTATTTTAAGAACAAATGAAACCCATTCCACGATGAAAGCCCGTTTTTGGCCAGGAGCCATTCCAGAGACAGGGAGCAAGCCATGGCTTAAAAGTCACGGATTAGTTATTTTTATGATTTTCAGTTGGTTAATTAATAGACGATGGGGTTAATCGAGGTCTACACTTTAAACCGCGGATTTAAACAATTAATAGACCTTTAGATCTTTTATCCGGTTATGATTGGATTAGTTTATGATTGTTTATATAGGTAAATAATGTTTTGATAGTTAATCTTGGTACTACCCGCATACTTAATATTGTATATAGTAGTACTGAGTAAACGTTGAAGCCATGGCTTCGATGTTGCCTGCACAAGTTACGCTTCAGTCAATGGGCTCTTGGAACCCTAGCGACAATGGTTTTATAGCTGGTGAATTTAGTCATTCTGAATAATAAATTGCTGTTTAAGAAGACCACGAAATTCCCTAATCCTGCGGCTAGAAACTCAGCCCAAAGGTCAAACTTAGTTTAGCCGGAGGGCTTTGGGCAAACCTTGCGTATAAATTAGCCAAACAACTTTGTACTTCTGTATCGCGTGAACCAGTCTATAAATTTTTTTTCAAATGAACCAAATGATTTTAAGGGTTTTTTGATAACGCAAACGTGAAATTAATAGTTCAACCCATAGGTATCCGTATTTTATGAAAACGTATTTTTTTCCTTTTTCCATAAAAATCGCGTCCACAGGTGATCGCTTTCATGACATAGATTGTTTTCCAAAAAGTTCCTCTTTCATCTGTCGACACAACTTCCGCAATTTAAACCCATGGTTTTACAAATTTCCACCCTGGATAGCGTTCTCAGTCATCGGAGTGTAGACGGAGAGCCAATTTTTGCGGATGCGCTTACTAAAATACGGATACGTATCATGGTCGGGGTCTTACTGCCATTCTGCCGTCCCCTTTTCAATTGCAACGAGAATTTTTCTTTCTATTCCGGTCTCTAAGAATTCGACTCCTATATTTGACAAATTTAGTGGTTTGGAATTATTTTAATAAAGATTTAAGGCTAATTTACTTTATTATCGTGACGTTTCCGTTTTTGTCCACTGAGCCCCTTAACAAGGCCTCGCAAACAACTCTACATGCAGCGGGCCCTGCCGCAAAACCTCATCCGAACAACTGTAAAGGTGCTTTAATTTCCAAGTTAGAAATACATCTCCCCACCTTACCTACATCACTGCTGACCCCTGTTTCATAGTAGCTTCATCCACTTGCTCTTTTTCTTAGCCTGCATGCGTGGTAAAACATGCATGATTTTCTAAAGACAGCTTTACGTGCGGGCGCGTGTACTGGAGGTATTAAATTTTCCGCCTTCCTCACTTCAGTACTGAGATGACCTAAATTGTGACCTCATCTTGCAGAGTTCAAGTACCGAATACGATATCAGTTTGACATGAGGCCTTATCGCATAAACTGCAACTAAAAAAAGAACAAGAAAAAATGAGGTCTTAGCTCCAGGACAAAACCAGCATTTCAAAATACTGTTAGTGAGAGAAAGTATTTAAGGTGATGATGAAAGACAAACCAAAGATAAACGAAAACGTCTTTTAAAAGACATAAGCGACGGCCTGCCTTGCGACAATGAACTTATTCGTGGAATAACCACGCCAGGCTTAGTAAGAACGAACA